TAAAAAACATTGAGTTTCAGTCTTGTGAGAAATTTCCTCATCTTTGTATTTGTATTTATTCTGCATCAGAAGAAAAACAAATATTTTCAATATTTTCAGAGTGAAATTCTTAAATATATTTTTTACTATTTTCTTGTTTGTTTTCTGTCTAGGTTTTTAAACGTTTAAATTAATATTATTCATTTTTTTCAGAATACAGAAGTATTATATGACATGGCTTGTGTTTAAATTAGATTATTTTAAAATAATTTCAAACAGCTGCTTTCTAGTGATTGAGTCATCTCATTTTTTAGATTAGAATCTCTTGTTTGTTTTGTAATTAAATGGTTTGACACTTGGAAAAGAAATTAAGATAAATACTCAGCATACCAACTAGAAGAGCAGGTGTTTTTTTCAGCACCCTTCTTATTCTAGGAAACTGCCATATTTCTTCTCCAGACATGTTTCTGTGCATTTGTAAATTACTCCAGAGTTGGAAATTTCCATAGTTTCTTCTTGAAAATTCTTCAGTGTCTGATGCCCTGAAATTCCTCTTGCTTCAGAAATTTTAGTTTAAATCAATTAAGGAGAAGGGTGGCAACTTCTTAGTGTCTTCATTTTACTCAGTTATGATTTGATACATGATACATTTATACATGAAACCTGACATATAAGTGATATATTACAGCATTTTTTCTTCCTATAGGAGAAGTCTTGTTGACACATGCATACACACAAATGCATATGATGTAGCACTTTTCAGATATTCCAGTGAAGAAATACTAACAAGTTCAGTAAATGGAAATGATCCTGGCTATGAGAAATGTTGCAGAGCTGGATGGGGAGCCTATAGCTTGAAGAGTATGGATGTGTGCCAGGTCAGCAGGGAGCAGCCAGCCAGCACTTCAGGAAGGAGACTCTGCCGGCAAGACCAGCTATAATTGTAGCTCAAGTTCCAGCTGCTTTAGCTAGACTGGGAGGCCCATAGAGAAATAGACTGAGACAGAGCTCTCAGATGTTAATCCACACTTGGGGTAGCACTAATATCTAAGAAACAGCAGATATCTCACTTGGAGGAGAAAAAATGATTTGTTTTTTTTTTTTTTTTTTTTTTTTTTGGTTGGAAGAGAATTTGCCTCCTTTTCCAAATAGAGGGCTCTGTTTTCAGGGCTACTTCATCTGTTTCACCTGTGATTTTGCTGCTTAACCATCAGCACTCAGCAATTACAGAAATCCATAGAATCCCTCAACCACAAAACTGTTTGTGTAGAGGAGTGTAATAGCCCTCATTTTATAAATGACAAAATGGAGACTCAGAGAACATCAGCTTATTGTGGTCATGACGAAAGTCATCCGCAGAGGTGGGCACACAGCCCACGGGCTCTCCTGGCAGGGTCCGTATATACCTCAGTCAGTCAGAGCTTCTCTTCTGGAAAGCAGAGAAGAGCTCGATACTAACTCTGATGAGAGCAATAAGCTGGTAACTATCTGTATCTGCAGGCACCATTATGCTTACCAGTCCCTTAAATATTTCTCCTTATGGACTGAATGAAACAGGACCACATGCACAATTTTGTACTATTGTTTTCCTGTTCCCTGTGTTGCATACAGGTACTGTTCATGTATTAAAATTAAATGTTATGTTTTGGTGACAAGGACTGCTTTCTCTGAATGTCTGTGTATCACCTGGTTTACAGGGTTCATATCTATTGGAAGAGAGAGTCTGCTGCAGAAACAATAATCTCACAGTTTGACTATGCCACAAATCTCTCTTTACTGTAGTTTATATATCCTAAAAAAAAGCTTTGGGAAATACCGAAGTCTGCTTTGAGTGAGCAGTCTTTCTGAAAATTGACCCACACTACAATCTCAAATCGTGGTTGTACTCTCTCTTGTTTTCTCCTTCCCTGCTTCTTGTAAGTTGACCCAGGTTGTTTTAAGGTCCCTTGTACTCATATTCTCTGCTATAGTCAACAGAAAAAAGACTTTTTTTTTTAAATCAGTGACTTTTTTTTTTTTCTCTTGAAAGCTTTTCTAGCCCTGTTTGCCTTAAGGGGATAGGTTTTTTAATGAAGAAAAATAACTCTTTTTGTAGCGATTTTAGAACTGGTGAGGGTAGCTGCATATTTTTATTTATACAGAAATCAAGGACAAGTGCATCTTCCACTTACATTTATATCCTTCTATAAAATGTGCTTGAAAATAAATACCACTGATTTCGCATAGGCCACTACCTGGGCATCCTGTGAATGTGGTTTTCGGTGGCCCAGCAGTACAAAGTTCCCTTTCTTTTTCCCAAACTCCTGTTTTGCTGATTCCCCTTTGGAATTTTATTGAATTGCTATTTCTCTAGCACTTGATTTGCAAATTGAGCATACAGATTGCATTGGTTCATTCCTACCTAACAGATTTGTCATGGTTTAACCCCAGCCGGCAACTAAGCACCACGCAGCCGCTCGCTCACTTCCCCCACCGACCCAGTGAGATGGTGGAGAAAATCGGGGCTGGGGGTGGGGGAATTAAAACTCGTGGGTTCATATAAAGACAATTTAATAGGACAGAAAGGAAGACAATTGTAGCGTTCGCCACATATCAAGGTGCCGTGATTAGATCACTGGTCGGCCTGGACCAGGGAAAGAGACAGATAACACACACAGTGTGAGCGCCAACTTCCGCCTTTTATTGCGCAGTCAATTCCTTTTATACTAACAAGGGTAGGAGGGATTACAGACACATCATAAGGCTGTGACTAACCCGCTAACTTTCCGTGACATCGCGAGATCTTCCGAACGCCGAACCCTACAGACAATAATAATAATAATAATAATAGGATTGGAATATACAAAACAAGTGATGCACAATGCAGTTGCTCACCACTCGCCGACAGATGCCCAGTTAGTCCTGGAGCAGAGTTCCCCCCCCAGCCCCTCTCCCGCCCAGTTTATATACTGGGCATGACATCACGTGCTATGGAATACCCCTCTGGCCGGTTGGGGTCAGCTGCCCTGGCTGTGTCCCCTCCCAACTCCTTGTGCCCCTCCAGCCTTCTTGCTGGCTGGGCATGAGAAGCTGAAAAATCCTTGACTTGGTCTAAACGCTACTTAGCAACAACTGAAAACATCAGTGTGTTATCAACATTCTTCTCATACTGAATCCAAAACATAACACTATAGCAGCTACTAGAAAGAAAACTAACTCTATGCCAGCCAAAACCAGGACAAGATTAAACACATTTTTCTTTCTGGATTTGGCTATGGCATTGACTGGGTCATGTCTCTTAATTTAAGGTCTTTGATGCTCACCCTAACTCTGATAGTGTTTTTACACAGATTCCCTTGCCCTGAAGTACCTTGATGCAGGAAGAACTGTCAAAATATTGCCCTGTACCATGCAGCGTTGAATGGTCCTCACATTACCTAAGGAAAAGGAGCAAGTGTAAAGATTTCTCCTCTCTGCATTTAATTACTTTGCTTTAATGACTGTTGTACTAGGATCTCTCTCTTTCTCAGGTTTCTGGCAAGTAATAAAAATTTAAAATCAAGTTGTAATTCCTGGAAAAATTAGTAGGTTTTCAATGCAAGCTGTTTAATTGTAATTCCTTTATGAGTTCTGCTTTTGTAATTTCTTGCTGCTCTGTGGGCCTGGTGTAATTCACAGCCCTTCTCTGTTATGCTGCCTTGTCTTGGGTGTCAACTCTGTCTAAATTGTTCTTCTCGGTCCAAATATGAGGATTCACACACTCGCACCCTTCTCTGGTGTCAGTAGCATCAGTCTCTGCCTCTTATTTATCCTGTTATTATTAAAGCCCCCCTTTTTAAACATTGTATATTTATTTTTCCTCAAAATGCAACCTTTTCCTCCTGTCATAAAGCAAGCGACTTAAAAATTTTCAAAGGCTCCTTCAGCAAAGCTGGGAATTAGATTCTTGTGGAGTCCTTCATAAAAAATAGACGACTTCATGTATTAACATACATTGATTTATTCATAGGGTTTCATTACAAATAAGCGAGGATCCCATAATATCAGGAGAGGTTAGGAGAGCAGTGGAGCACGTTATATTATATTGACAGCTCAGTTGAAATTGAGCTGCCTTTGGATTGAATTTGGAACGCAGGAAAGGAATTGGCTGGTAAATAAGTCATGAGTTTTACTTGCAAGTATGTGTATATCAACAAGGTTGCCATGGGTAAGCATAATGGAGCTGGAGCAGAATTTCAAAGGTGTGCTTTCAGCTTGGATTCCTCTAGAGGTGCGTTAGCACCAGCAACGGGTGTATTCATGAACGGCTCTCCAGGTCTGTAACCCTGCTGACTTATTATCTCAGGCAAAAACCAGGCATGGTACCACATGTAAACCTGCAAACTGAGGCACGAAACAGGGGGAGGGAAATTATATCAGAAGCTGGCTTACAAGCTCCGAGAAGAAGAGAAGGGCTTTTGTCTAAAGACTTGATGATATTTATTTCATTTAAACATACCATTTCATTTCAGCATGTGTTCTTTAGCACAGGAAAATACTTCCAAAACCTTTGTTGTCAGTAAAAGGCTCCCATTGTTTTCAGTGGCCTTATGAGAAGACCATTTGCCAGAAGGAAAAAAAACCCCCAAAACTTGATGGAAAATGTATCCATGTTTGCACCAAGAGTTTTTGAATGCTATGGGGGGATTGTATGGGAAATTCTCATGAAAATTCTGCCGGTCGTGCTGTGTGCTCTTGTTTGCCTGCAGAAGTTCTGAGATGTGGAACAAAAAGCAATTCTTTGCATCTTTTGTTGTAAATCAGCACATGCTGAGGTTTTAGTCGAGAGAAGAAATTAGTTTTTTCCTAAGTAAAGCCTTGGAAAAATTGTGATGTTTGTTTGCCAGCATCCAAGTATAGAACCGCTCACTAGAGATACTGAAATAATATCTGTCCTTGTATTTTCAATGTCTAGTCTCAAGAGATGGCAAAATAGGGGAGCAGAGAAATGCCAGGTGCAGAAGGCCCCTTATCACCTTACTTTCCTTGTTCTTCATTTGCAGATTACATACAAGGCCGTTGGGTCTCTGGATCCCAGTGCTGACCTGTCCAGCCAAAGAGGGAAAGTCTTCAAACTAAGGAATGAAACACATCACCTCTTTGTAGGATTATACCCAGGGACTACGTATTCATTCACCATCAAAGCCAGCACAGTCAAGGGCTTTGGGCCACCCATCACAACACGGATTGCAACTAAGATTTCAGGTACTGCTTTGGAGAAGAAGAAAAAAGAACTTTCTAGGGCTTTTTTCTTTAGACCCGCAGCTGATGCATAAAATGATAAAAAGGTATTCAGCTTTGTGCCTCTACAAGTTTCATAGGGCAAATTTTTAAAACAGCCACAATCCAGTACCTATGTGTGTTTGAGTTACAAATGCAGTGGTTAATTTGTTGATATCTTAATATCCATGAATATCTTTGTGGAACATTTTAAATGAGAACGTTCATTAGTTCTACAAATTAACTATCCCTGTAATAATTGTTAGTATTGTCTGTGTGGCTGGGGAAGCTCCTTCAATAATGTGGTTTTTATTTTCAGAATGCAGCAAAATGGACGTAATGAAGTAATTGAATTAATAGTGCAAGGAGACTCTAAAATAAAGGAGGAAAGCTGTTTTTATGTTTTCTTTCTGAGTAAGGGCAGAGAGAGGGCTTGAGGTACGCAGACAAGTATATAAAAGGCACTAAAATCAGAAGGCATTGCAAAGAGAAAGTGCATGTGTCTCTAGAAGAAAAAGGAAACTTAGGCTAGCTATCAAAAAAAAAGATGGATAAAGGGATAGTAGAGATGATATTGGGCAGATGTATGTAGACTTTAATTTTAACTTTTAATTGATAGCACTACAGTAGGTTCTCTAACAGAGTTTAAAACTGTCCTTTTTTTCAGTAAAGCCAAAATAAACATTTGGGATGTTCAGGACACTTGTAATACTTGAAATTATGGCTGGGTGCCATAGAAAAGAGTGCACAGCAGTGCATATGTTCCATTGCCCTATTTCAAAATTGGTTAATAAGAATAAGTTGTTAGCAGTAAGTGACAGTGTAAATTTTAAGGAAGTAAAATGTATCCATTCCCTCCACTAACCGTCAGCAGGGTTTGAACCCTTAACATTTAGTGCAAAAGCCTGTGTCTCAACCACTTGAAGTAAAGCCATTAACTGTCATAACAGCTCTGCAGACTGTTAGGGTTTATGCAGCCCTGCTGTGAAGGGAAGGCACAGCATGCACTCTATTCACTTGTGACCAGAGAAATAAAATACACAGTAATGGTAGTGCTTTTTCCCTCTGATGCAGTTTCTTTGCATTTTATTATTCAGTGAGTGCTCAAATTGTGTTAGAAGCCTGCATGATTATTAACTGTATGCACACTGAGCTTGCTTTATCATCTTTTTTTTTTTTCTCCATCTTCCAAACATCTGGTTCGCAACAGGTAGGCACAGACTCCATACAGGCTTTAGGTTAGTCTCTGACATTAGATTATCTCATTGCATGGTCAGTCCTATACATGTAATTTGGAAACTACTGTTAAACTTGCTTTAACAGGCAGTCCCAAGGTTAGTAAAGAGAAGGATTTTTGCATTGACTGGAATGTCCCTGTAAGACTATATGTATTTTAAATGAAAAGTCATCTATGCTGTAGCAATGCGTGAGTGTATATGTTTATATGGGTGGACATATTTGTTTATGTCTTAATCGCAATTAAATGGCACAATTCCTGAAGACTTCTCTTTGGGCAGGACCGGGATATTGCAAAATAGGCATTAAATTGATGAGCAGTTCTTGCTATTTTAGAGAGATCACTGCCAATTGTAGTTTTATTGAGGTACTACACAACCGTTCCATGTTGAGTACACAAGAAAACTACTATACCTTATTTCAGTGTCCTGTGACTAATACAGACTCTAATCACTGAAATTTACTCAATACCATTAGCTAGTCCTGCCAAGACCTATGTTTCTTGCATTTACTTCTTAACTATATGGTGTCTGAAAGTAGGATTGTAAATTCTCTGTGGCAGGTGCAGTGTTTTACACAGAAGATAACTAAACAAGTCTCATGCACAGCCAGAAGGAGACATCTGAGGTAGCTAACATACCAGAAACAATTTAGTGGCACCAGTGCAGCACTGCAGCTAGTCTAGAAAAGAGGATGGAGCCTGCAAAGGCAGAGTCCAGCCTGTTTCTGGTGTCCAAACTGGCCTTGTAACCTGTTTGTAGTACTGTGTTGTGCTGGAGCACCATCCCCTCTGGCCAGAGCAGGCGCTGAACAATTCTTGCTGTGGCATCTCCAGCAACTACGGTGATCTCTGGTATAGAAGACCACTGGTGACATGCATCTTCTTTAAATGACTCACACTGCTTCCCCTTGATGCAGAGCACCTTTTTCAGAGAAATCCTCATTAAGGAATTGGCATTCATTCTGAACTCATTGCCAGCTTATTGACAGGGAAGTCAGTAGCTGAGCTGATAATAGCAACCACTGTCTTGACAGTGTTCAGGCATTTAGATAAAAATCCTGATTGTAAACAGGATTACAGTGGAAATCACTGTGAGAGGATTAAATATGGGATCCCCCGCAATGCAGCTTGCCCTTGCGAGTTACAGATGAACTATTTGTGTGAATTCTTCTGTTTGCTTTTTACTTCAAAGATATTTCAACAAAACTTGCATCTTCGGAATAAATTTAATGCTGCTCTGATCTCGTGATCTCTTCAGTTCTTCCACAGTAAAAATTGTCCCAGATGTCTGCTACTGGGGAAGAAAGAAGTAACGTAATAAGTAAAATATGTTTCCTAAGGAAACTATCCTACTTTCATGAAATGATCCTAATAGAAGATAACAAAGCAGAAGTAGAAACTAGACTTTGGCTAAGTGTGAATATTCAGTGGTTTTCTGTATTGCTTTGGGGAACATGTCAGCAAAGCGATGGGGATGCCATGGCTGGGTACTGCCTGAGTATATCATTGCAGGCTGTGCAGCTGTCTGTTGATTCAGCATCACTAAAGCACTGGGGTAAAATGTCATGGGTTTGAGTGCTAAAATAACCTGGCTAATTTGTGCTCCTCTCTCTTCATCTTTTGTGCTTCATAACACACCCTCCAGCTAATCAAGGAGACACAGCTTAAGTCTATGTATTAAAAACTCTAAGATGTGGGAGGTCTAATCCAATGACCAAAACAGTGAACAAGAACCAGGTTTCCTGGGTGCTATTCTTAGCTCTGCCACTGATTCACTCATTCTAAGTGGTCTTTTATAATGTCCATGCAGTTTTCTTTCTTCACCTTTAAAATTGAAGGAATGATCCCATCTCAAAGGTTTACTAAGTCTTAAAAATTCAAAAAGGGATTTCCGAAGCCAGCTTGAAGATTTGGGTGCCCAATTCCTGTTTAATTTTAATAGGAAAAGAGTGTGCAAATATTTAAGCAGTTTTGACAATTTTGGTCATAACATTGGGAAGTATTTTGATGTTTCATTTGAGAAATGTTAAATGGTCTCCAAGAAATGTTAATATTACGTTGCCATCACTACCAAAGACAGTAAGTGGTGTGTAGCTAACGTATTGCTCTTTGTTCTGCCATAGCACCATCAATGCCAGAATATGACACGGACTCCCCCCTGAATGAGACTGACACTACCATCACTGTTATGCTGAAGCCTGCTCAGTCCCGAGGAGCACCTGTCAGGTAGGTGTTTTGTCTTCTTTTTTCACAGTTCTCCCCTCTCCTTCCTCCCCAGGCTTTATTCACGCCTTTCTCATTCTCGTCTGACAAAGTAGCTGCTGAAAGCGAACGCTGACTAAAAGGCCAACTCTGCTGTTGATTCTGTCTTTCAGTCTCCTTTTATAAACGTCTCAACTTACTTGCCTCCCGCTGTTAACCTCCGGGAAGGATTACTGATAGCATTGCACAGGGTTATTACCCTTTCAGCATCACTTCAGATGCCTTTGCAGCACTGGAGTATGTGCAGCTGTGGACTGTGATGCTGTGAATTGACCGTCACCATGCAAAAGTGGAGGAGGCTTCAGGCCTCCATCTCCTGCCCTCTCTTCCGTGATGGACAAGGCCTTTTTGTAACTATCGTATGAATGCCCAAACTACCTTTAATGTTTGTGGATGCATTTGTTCAGATTCTGGATCTAACCACGCTCCTCACATCTTTATGTTATAATCCAGCTATTGCTTCTGGGTTGGCTGTGGAGTGAAGTAGTGATCTAGTTCAGAAAAAATGAACTCTGGCTTAGCGAGGCTTTGCCAGCTGTAGGCAAGCACAATTTCCACTGGCAGAGTAGAGGATTTAGGAGGAGGGAGCTGCACAGGCACCTGTGGAAGAGCAAGGACCTTGCAGAAAACATCTCTGTGCCTGAGCTGGGTCCTGTTCTTCATGATGAGGTGCTGAAATCATAGAATCATTTAGGTTGGAAAAGACCTTCAAGATCATCGAGTCCAACCATAAATGTAACACTGCCAAGTCCCACTAAACCATGTACCTAAGTGCCACTCAACTGCAGATCACTCCCTGACTGTGGAAACACAACTTACAGAGGTCTGTACTGCATTGCTCTCTTCTGTCTAGGTGAATTTGTACTTGGTGAAAGGCACCAGCACAGATGAACAAACTTCCCTTCTGAGCTGGCGCTGCCTTATCTGTTGCTGGCAGAAGTGCCAGTTGGTCATTCATCCTGCCAGTCTCCTTAGCAAGAGTGGGAATTAGAATAGCTTATGATAAAAATACTGGATACTCCTTTGCAGAGGTATCCAGCAGTCATTACCTCCCTGTAGGCTCTTCAGGCTTTTACCTCCAGTTTTCACAAGGGACTTGAACTTTTTCCTATGGGTGGTGTTTTAAAAACCCATCATGCCTTCTTGCAACGTGAATTGGGTTTCTGTGCCCCACTGACAGGTTCTTAGTGCTTTTGAAGGATGTCCTTCTAAGTACTCAGGAGCAAATTGCTCAGAGGTATACTTCTTGATTTAATGAAATATCCTGTATCAATTGGTAGTCCACCCTATGTGACAGCTTTCCCCCCAAATTGCATTCATACTCTCAAGCAAAAAAATCTGCTCTTTAAGACAGCACTATCCCTTTTCTAGTTTTTCTGAGTAATGTATTTTAAAGTTTCCCTTTCAATCTCTGGTACTCCATACAACCAAATTTAGGAGCCTATTTTCTGAGTCCTTTAGGGATGTTTTTCTGCTGGAAAAGAGCAGTAAAACCACACAGCTCTGTTTTGTTTTATTTCTTTATATGGGGAAACATTCCTGTATCTCGTTTTACCACCTGCTATCTTAAGAGTGTTGCTATTTTGTCTTTTTGTTGAAAAGTCTTGTGATTTTTCTCTAAGTCAATTTACTATACTTTAACTGCATTCAGTGAATAATGTCTTTTCCAGCAAATGCATCTGTTATAAAAAATTTGGTAGATTTTTTAATAAATTTTCACTCTGGTTTCTTTAATTGCATTGTAGCCTATTAAACACACATTTGCAGAGAGTGATATTTACATGCCACATCTAAGCGATAAGATTACTTCCTATTATGAGCCCATTTCATTAACTTACAGACGTGGGTATGAAAACCAGAATGGATAGGGGGTGAGGGGAATCTTGGGGAGAATTTTAGCTTTTTATTAACCATGACTGCCTCAGAATGTGTGAATACCTTTCTCTGTATAACCATATAGACTTCTTAGTCTAGCCTCAACAAATCCAGTTATTTCAACCTTAGATTTCCCCAACCTCTTCCCTTTTTTTTCAGTCTGTTCTGCACACTCTCCAATTTGTGTAAATTCTCTCAAAATACCATATCCAAAAGCAGGTAGCATTCCCTCAGAGGCCTCAACAGCACCCAGCAGATTAGAACAACAATATACTGTGAACTGCTTGTGACACTCTTAACACACAAGAATGAAGTGTTTTTCCTCCTCAGTGTTTTTTTTTTGTATTCAAGCTGAGATCCAATATATCCTCTTTGTTGTTGTCTGGTTAGTTGTTCTACTCTTTGGTTGTGTGTGTTTTATTTCTCCTTCACCAATGTAATGTTTTCCATTCATCTCTATTAAATATGATAAAACTGATTTTCAAAATGCTTTAAAATTCTGATACAAACTTAAATGACTTAGACCCCCTCTTAGTCTGATGCCATCCTCTCTTCAGTTACCAAAGGCATTAATGCAAACACAGATTTGAGAAAAATGACTGAGAAATCTCCATGTGCATCAGCAAGGTGGTGCAGAGGTCACGGGAGGGAATCCTGCATGATGCAGCATGCTTGTAGGATGCTTGTTCTCCTGGCCTCCCTTGTAGACATGACCATACTTTCCTAGATCCCTTTCCTTTTGCACACCAAGCTTTTGTATCCCAGCCTGCCTGAGGTGGGTCTGAAAACGTACTTGAAAGTCTGAAATAGATTTTCCTTATGCCTTCTTATAAAACCTCTGATATTCACATCTTTCACTATGCAGGAATAGGTCAACCCCTCAACTCATCAACCTGACAGTTTCTGCTCTGCAGTGCTCCAGGTTTTTATTATAGTCCTCCCAAACTGTGAAGATGAAAAAAAATTAATATACAGTAATTATTCTTAATATTTCCTCTTATATGCTGGGGATGGTGAGTTGGAGAACGTGTGGGGGTGTGACTGTAAACTAGTATCTATACATAAGATAGTTATGTGACTTTGACTTGTGTTATTTCATTCTGCTGTAGTCAGAGCAGCATACAGATGGAGTATGGTCTGCAAGATCATTTTTAGAGTAATACTGTAGAATATTTAAAATAAGATTCCTTGTATTTCCATTCATCTGAAATGCAGGTACACCAAATCCAAAGTAACTTTCAACATTAAGACATTTCTGATGTTCCCCAGTGCTCATGATAAATAACTTAAATGAGGTTGTTTATAAAGCTAATGATCATGAACTTGGCATTGTTAATGATCTATAGATAACAATGAAGATGCTTTCATATGAGCTAATAGAAATAATAGAAACTTAGATATTCTTTGATCTATTTTGTCCTATCGCCAAAAGAAAGATGAAGCCTCAGCAATCATAAATACTCTCCCTTGTGGCATAGGCATTTCATCTTGCCTTTATTTTCCATGGTATAACCTGCAGAGCTTGACTCCACGTTGCCCTTTAAAAATAACTTTTAGGTGTTCTTATATCAATCTAAAACCTGTGAATGGTGCTATGATTGATTTGCTGAAGACTGACATTCATCTATAATAGATTCAGAAGAGGAAAGAAGAATGCAGGTGTTCTCAATCTTTACTCCTCAACTCTTTCCTGAAAATCTCCAGTGTGATTTTGAGGATAATTCTGCCTTTGAATCTGTTATTGTCAGGAGGGCTGAGTCAGTCCTTCATAGATTATTCACATATGACATCTTTAGACTTCTATTTGAGAATTTATATCCCATTCACTGCTTGAAAATACCACCATGAGGGATTTTATCTACATGACATGTCCACTGGACTGTTTTTTGTGTGTTGGATATTTGAAAGTCCATCTGGTTTATTAACATGCAGTTGGTTCTATCAATCTACCTATACTACTATTATGGAGAAAATAAAATTTCCAGAGCATGTATTAGTTTTGAGGATTTCAGAGTTTAAATAAATGCTCCCCTTAGGTGTGATTGCCTTGTCAATATGCTGCTCTGTGTATTGGAGCTGTAGGACACTGTAGAAGGACGTTAGAGAAGAGTCTGCCATTATTTTTTAAGGTTTCAGACAATAGAGAACTTTTTGTTGGAAAAAGAGGGATTTAATCTCGCTATCTTCCTGTGGTTCTCTGGGGTGTATCAGTAAATAATCTATGATGTTCTTTCGTGTGTCTGCAAGCACGCAGGTACAGGACAGTCTTTAGGCACCTGACGCCTGTACTGTGCTAAAGAACATTATTATTAGAACAAAGGAATCAATCTTTGCACTTGCCTTTATGCATATAGATACGTGGGGGGGTAATATATGTATATTTTTTATATATATATATATATATATATGCAGTGTAAGTAGCATATGTAAGTGATCCTGGAGAAATATATTTAGGTGAGAGTCATTATGTATGTGTGCAATGGTCAGATACTTGTAATCACTTTGATGGTGAGGAAGGATGGGTTAGTTTATTAATGTACATCTTAAAGGAAATAAGTAAATGTAAATAGAAGAACAGGAGTTTAAATATTTTAAATATATTTAGAAGTACTGAGCAAAGGTGAAACAAATATTTTCATATCAACAGCCAGCCAGTAGGAGAAATTAATTTATATGGACCAAGCCCCATGTTACTCTTGAGTATTATCATCTGATTCTTGGTTTCCCAAGCATGAAATCAAGGAAATATTTTTGGTCTACATGATGCTAAACAAATTAAGAGAAAACAGCTGTAATGTTATCTAACAGAACACCTAAGAACAGTGTTTTTTTCTGGATTTTTGCTCAAGCTATTCTCCAAGCCAACCAACCCGTATGACATATCTGTATACTTATGTATTCCTACATAGAGTAACAAATGAAAATTTCCTGTGATGGAGTGGTATTGCTTCCATTTTATTTTGGAGAACTGAGACTGATAAAACTTGCTTTCCCTTTCAGTCTGCAACAAAGTAGAAATTGAGAATCTCTGGAGCCATAGTCTATAATTTTAATCTCCAGATAATTCTTTCTTTTTTTGCAAATTCAAG